CTCGTGCTCAGTCCTCATATGTGCTTCGTAACGACGCTTGCCAAGAGCAGCTTCTAAATCACTACAGCAGCCAATGAAGCACTGCTACGTAGTTCAGAAAGGACAAAACTATGTTCTCATTACTGTTTTGTTACAGCAAGCATGAAATCTTTCTACTGGTAATATGGATATACAGATACATTAAGCAGTATATTACATTAAATTAACAAACAAATGGGGAGTGTTTAGTGTTAATAACAGTGTCAAGACATTTCTGCCCGTATAGAGATAAGGCTACGAGCTGAAAAACCGAGGAGTAGGGGTTCGATTCTCTGCAGTGACAGAAGTCCTTCTCTTCTCCACAGTATCCAGACCAACTCCGCGTCCACCCAGCGTCTAGCGTGTGTGTACTCCCAGGATAAGGCGGCCGGGCCGTCAAGATAATCGTTACCTAATGCCGAGCTTGAAAAACACGTGTGGACATATCTGCATCCCCCCATCCGAAACGTCTTCGCGGCGTGGCGCTCAATTTAGGTCAGGGACAATTTTCCTGTTTAGTGTTAATAAATTTTAACATAATTATTCATTTTTATGAGATTTCTTATAATAGACCTAACTTATATTCTGTCAAAAGTCCACTATTTAAATTGTGGCCAGAAGATTTGTGAAACTGAAAAATAGTAACAATGTATTTAACTCCATGAAGCAAGGTTTCCTATGAGCAGTTGATAATTATTCAACTGGTCACGAAATTCTCAGTCTCTCTGAAACACAAAGACACTATGGGAATGTCTATTAAATACACGCAAGTCTTTCCTTTATCGTGAACCATACAGGCTCCACTCTTTCAGAAAATTAAAGGTGTTAGGGAAAACACGCTTTGTATAAAAAATTTGGCGCATGCGCTAGTAGTGCAAGGGCCTCCAAAAATCAGTCCAGAAGTTTTCATGATGACGCAGTATAAGGATTCCTTTTCTACATTACCTCGAAACCTATAAAAACGACTGTTCAAATGCACTTAAAATGAAATGTGTGTTTTTTACTCTTCTCTACAGCTTTGTTTCAAACATTTTTAACATATCTAGCAAGTTGGCCACGAAATGTGTGCAAAAATTCGCGTAGGTCTTCATGTAAAATGTCATTTTTTTGTTTGTTGCCAGAACTGGACTGTATCGACCATGTTTAGTAACAAATTCCAGTATATAATTTCATGAAAATTCGTTAAGCCGTTCTCGAGATATTTCAAGCATACAAACGGACCGACGGGTGTAGTGAGCTACTGAGCACTATACGGTTGCAAAGGCGCTTCAGACAATGCAGCACGTACAATCACAATCATAATCACAATCACAATCACAGAGTTCCAGTTGAGCGGACACTAAAATTAGACCCCGAGCACTTTGGGATGCTGGCAATTTACGTTTGCTTGATTTGCATATTTTCTGCCGCGAGTACAGTTTAGGCCGCGCCATAGATCCAGCGGTTAGGGCTTCCCTCCGCACCGGCCCTGGTTCGATCCCAGGTCTGCTCAAATGGGATTTGTGGTGGACAAAGTGGCGCTGGGGCAGGTTTTCTCCGAGTACTTCGGTTTCCCCTGCCAATCTTCATTCCACCAATTGCACCACAGTCACCCTCACCTATCATCTAGGGCTGGTACAATAGGCCAGAAGTGGCTGCAGTACAAGGGACTTAGTCCCACCCCACTAGTAATAAAAAAAAAGGTACAGGTGGGCGGCCGTTGGTGGTATCAGCCTATATCTTTACCGCTCTTGTCTAGTACATATTGGTCAGTGCTTAAGTTCGCGATCAATACGTAATGCGTCATCGCCTAATTGGGTTATCCTTCTTAACGAAGTGTGTATAGCTCGATCATTTGGTTTTATGATAGTTTCCTTCCGCACCGTCGGACTACCTTGCTTATTGAATATGGCATGGAAAAAAGAAAAATCTTAATGAATATATCGTATGATTCTTTACTTGATACGTAGCAAATAACTCAGAAAAATATACCTGGTGTAGATGATGAATTTAAACGGGTGTCGGTAGAAGCTGCCTGCTTCAAGGTGTCATTTATCTCTGCGGAATGCGGTATTATTGATGAGGCAATGATGAAAGTGGAACAAACCCCATCAAATTTTCCGTACATAGATAGAGCGTAAAATGCTGGGACCTTACCCTTCTGTCTCCATTTGTTATCTCCGAAACAAATGACCGGATTTCGATGAAAGTTTTTTTGGGGGAGTGGGGTGGGTTGGGGAACTACGCTAGAAGTTTTTCTGCAAATGTTCCGTTATGTCGTAACGGCTTAAAGTAATACATTGCTCAGTTTCAACTATATGCAATTTATCATAAATGATTAATCGAGCAATTGAAAATAAAAAGGAACATGTTTCTTCTTCTTAGTAACAAAAAAAAATTATTCTTTTTGTAGTGTAGCATTACTACCTCATCTCTAATAATGAGTAATTTCTTCCACTTAAAGAAGAGAGCTACTCTTGTAGCAAAAAGCTTTATGGAAAGTGCTTCCTAAATATCGTGCGTAATTTTTCACACGATACCAAATAAATAACAGAAAAATATACTTGTAATATAAATCCAAAATCATATGCAATATTTGTACAATCAGTGCAATGTCACAGAAAATCTATGAGGTACCATCTACCTGGCAACATTTAATTTAAATGCGCGATTTTGAGCTTGCGGTTTCACTACTTAGTCGTGTGCTTGTACTTCACAGGTGTGTTAGCGCTTTCTTTAAATTAAAAAAAAAATTAAAATGGGGAGAATCTTGTAGCAAAAGCGTTACAGAAATTGCTTGCTATATATTTTGTGTGATTTTCTCATGTAATACATAGTAAATAACTAAAAATTACGTAATACTACTCCAGAATACATTTAAAATGCAGGTAACTTCTATGGGATGATAACTGAGCATCTTCAACCTGGCGACAATCAACTTAAATAAATATATTTGAATTTTACATATGCCGGGATAGCGCAGCCGGTATAACGACTGCCTATGGGCTAGACGACCAAGGGGTCGGTGTTTAAGTCACTGTGGGGGCAAGAATTTTCACTTCTCCATGTCGTCCAGACCAGCTCTGGGGTCCACCCAGCCTCCTATCCAATGGGTACCGGGGGCTCTTTCCCCGGAGGTAAAGCGGCTGGGGCGTGAAGCTGACCACTCACCTCCAACTATTGCCGATGTCAAGAAAATGTGGATCTATACATCCACTCCCCCATATGCCTTCATGGCGTAGTGCTTAATTAATTAAACACAGGACAACTTTACCTTACACTACCTTACATATGTAACTATTTTCGTGTGCTTGTACGTCACAGAACTGATCATTGCAGAGAGGGTGTTCATATTGGTTAGGACTACTGAAAAAAAATATATACATATATACTTTTACAGCGCACCTCGACAATAAATACGTGTACATGGTGTATAATGCGGTCTATCCGTGGTATCAATTTGGGCAGCTCTGATCCAGACGAGTGAGAATGAAAATTAGCAAATAACACATTTAGTAAATATGTGTGTGCCCCAAATTGTAGCAAACCTATTCTGTGTATATTGAATTATTGTGTTAAATTGCTACTGCGGTCTGCATACGAAGAAGCTAAAGAAAGGGGAGTAATGCTTCGTTCAGAAAAGCCAGAACTTAACCTGTGTACCTCTGCGGTGCAAAGCAAATGATCTACCACTGAGATATTCTGCTCGGTGAACTTCTTCCCCTTTGTGTTCTCAACATTAGGCTTATGGTGACTTATAATGAAATGCTCTCACACAGACGCTTCTCACCTTATGTTGCAGACAACGGTAACACTCCTGCTCCGTATTTGGGAGGTATCGGGTTCAAATACTATCTGGAGAAGGGCTTTTTGAAAGAGTTTTCGTGGTTTCCCCACTCCTCCAGGACATTGACAGTGCGTTCGTCCACAGCTTTTCAACTCATTTCTCGCTTATCATCTTGTTCTTCGACACTATAAATTTGGCTGGTGACAGAACCTTTAAGTATATGTCATAAATACATAGACAGGAAGCGACTATATAACAAAAGAATGTTGTAAAAAGAAGTCTTATAATGTTTGCTCTTGGTTTACAGTTGCTTGGATGATTACAGTTGTGAGTATAAGACAGGCAGGGCATGCAGATTTCATGAAATAGCCAATGTTATTAGATGATCTTGAACTGTGGGTCGACTACTCACTCATACACACAGTGACAAATAAGGTGGACCTTATTTTAGCCCTTACCTTTGACTTCTTTCTCTCAACTGCCGAAACTTTTCTGGAAGGACATTAAGCCGAATTTCATGCACAAGCTTATAAGTTATCGATCTGGTTAGAACTTAGTGATCTTGAAATTTCTCTTTAAAAGCATTCTTACAGTCTTTAATCGAGCAAGTTTTAAAGCAACATTAAACAGTAAAGCTATTTTTAATCATAGTTAAAGTAAAGGCGAAATTAATAAAGTATTATGTTTTAAAGACATATGTGGACGTATTTGACCTTAGCAGTAGATGAAAGTGAGTGGTTAGCTTCATGAAGTGGCCTCTTTGCCCCTGCGGATAGAGCCGTTCGTATGCATAGGATAGGGGGCTGGATGAACCCAAGAACTGGTCCGGGCCTTATGCAGAAAATCTCTTTCTAACACCGGAAATAAAACCCCGTTTTCTCAGTCGCCCGAGGCCTAATCACTACACCGACTGAGCTATCCGTGCCAATTTTATTATATTAACTATCGACTTTTGTGTCTTTCCTTTTTACTTTGTGTATCAAAACTGTTCTTTCATTTATATGTAGGTTTGTATTTAACAATAAAGCTGATGGTATTTTTGAGCAGAATCTTAACTTCTAGGCAGAATTAGACTTTCATTAGCAAGAAGATAAATCAGAGCTTCTGCTGAGTGTGGATTCAGTTTGTCACGGTGTAGTTTAGTTGTTTCGGTGACGGAGGTTGGTGAGACTGTTTCCCCAACTTTCGTACATCTGGAGTAAGTGGCAGAGCAGCACATTCGCGTGGGATCGCGGAAGGGAGGGAGTGTGACGCATTCTGCCAATGCTGCAGCCACTGGGAGGAAGTGAACGGATTTCGCTCTTCAACCGGCGCAAAGAGTATTTGTGTGTAGCGTGTATTTCAACTGACAATGGGGCGATTAGTCATTGCTTTGTTCTTGGAGATCATTCTCCTGGCTTTCGGCATCCAAACAGGTGAGCTTCTGTAAGCAGATGTTGTAGTGTAGATGTCTCATTGTCTTGCAGGATTTAAGATTCTCAGCGGTGGTTATGAAGAGTTCTGTTTCCTGTGATTCAACACCGGGTAGTCCCTCGAAAGTCAACTGGCAGGTTGGAGGAAAATGGCGCTTCCATCGTGCTGCCTGATTTGTGTTGGTTTATTGCTTGACGTACTCTTGCGCCCTGAAGATGAAGGCGGCATGTTCCTCCGAAATGTCGGTTGACTTCAGCGTTTTATCCCGGAAGAATACTAATGTCTTGACCGTGGGTTAAAAGATACATTAGAAAAGAAGCATATTAATATAGACTGCGTTTATCTGTACACGATTTGTACTCTATGTTCTATGTAAGTATATTCTGTGTAATAATAATAATAAGATTTCTAATAAATAATCGAGATTTGGTTACTAAGTGTTAAAACACAGAGGACAGTTACTTTGGGCATATTCAAAACGTAGGTGTGTGAAGTCTCGAATAATCCAGTCCGTTTCACGTCTGAATTGCATTACAATGTGATTTAACGTGTTTTAATTACATTTCGAAGTTGATCCACTTTGATGTACCGGTAATTAACTGTGGGCTTGAAGGTTGTAATACTGATCACTTCACATTCGACATTACAAGTTGAACTTCTTTGAATTTATTATGCTTCTTTCAGAACTTGATTAAATGTCATGCGAATATGGAATTATCGGTCCTAGTAGAAGATTTTTTTTACATTTATTGAAAAGGTAGATTTTGTGGATTACAAGTAAACTTTTACAGTTCAATGCATTAAGAAGAAGAAGAAGAAGTGATTTGGAGTTAAGGCGTCTCCGAAATATAGTTAACGAAACGAAAAATAGTATTTTCTGTCAAAATTTTGTTATTACTTACATATTTCGAAATAAAAGGAAGTTTATATTGGCGATATATAATTCCCTAATCTGTACATGAAACAGGTTTAACTGTATTCATTCTGGTCCGTCACACTAGACAGTATTATAGAATAATTTGACAACACCGTCCAGTGTGACTCAAATTATATATATATGATGCCTTTACAAGTTTCGGTCAATTAATGACCATCTTCAGAGGGCAATAACACGCTGAGGAAACTACTATTACATAAATCATAGTACATCAAGTTCAAAGTTGTCCATAGTTTTATAAAATAATTAATTAAGATAAAATTTTTAGTATTTAATATCTTAAATCGCTAAGGTTCGTGTTCTTCGTGCCTCTTGTATCAACAGGGGATTTGAATGATATTGCCTTCCTTGAAGGTCCGGGAAACGTTTTCTCCTTCTTTATTTTGTTGGTTGAAAGTCTGTGTTTGTTGTTAAGCTGTTCTTTCTTGTTGAGGCACTTTGAACTTGATGTGCCCTCTACAAAATAGGCTATGCAATGGCTCAAGCTGTTAGTCGCCGGTTTTCCAAAGCGGCGGCCCGCATTCGTTGCCAAGTCAGGTCATGATGAATTTGTGGTTTGGCCTGGCACTTCTTATTCCACCAACTGCTCCATATTCGTTAATAATCCTGTCACCCGACTCCATATGGTGTCTGTGCTGACAACGTCGTAAAGTAACCAGATTCAACGGACAGATTAATCACAGCCACAAAATAAACCGTGACCTTCGAGGGAACGAACCTCTTTTGTTCCAGTATCATTTAAATAACGCGATATTCGGATAAATATCAAAATTTGCTTATCTTGTTTGGTGGATAGGTCACAGAACAGACATAACTACGTGAATTTCAAGAACGCCAAGAACTGAGATTGGAACAAAAAACACTGAAGCTACACAAAGTTCTAATTTTATTTCTTCGACAAGAAAATTACGGCCCGGGAAAAAATGCAGGCAGCTGGAATGAAGCGTTTATTATGTGTGAAGGGTCGCAGTAAAATGTATAGAATAAAACAGTGAGATTTGAGAATAGAAGTGGGACTTTCTTACTGAATTAAAAAATTTATAAAATATGGAAGGCGCATTCCCGAACAAGCAATGGCTTATGAAGTATAAAGCAAGAGAGGTGGGGGAAGACAGAAGGAGAAGTGCGGATGGGCTGTTACCTAACCCTTGGACTGAAAAGGAGATAAAATTCGATTTGATGCCACTGCAAAGAAAGGGTTACATTTGACTGATAAATGACTTCATGGAGCCGAGTCCTTGCGAAACCACCAGTCGCTTAGCTATTCAAATATTTCCCAACATTTTATGCAGCCGAAGGCTCATCGCCATGTTCACAAAGGGCCGCCACTGTACCCTATACTGAGGCAGATGAATCAAATCCATATCTACCCGTCCTCTTTCTCTAAGAACTATTTTAATATTATCTTCCCACGTACGTTTAGACGTACGTTAGTGACCTCTCTCCTAGTAGCTTTCCCACCAAAACCTCGTATGTATACTTCATCACTCCCATGCGTGTTGCGTACCCAGCCCAGCTCATCCGTATTGAACTGACCAGTCTGTATCTGAGATATAGAAGAAAAATTAAATTAGCTCAATACCTTTCATTTTCATAGCTTCCCGGTACCAAAGTTCGCAGAAATCCTTGGGGAAGTTTTTGAGATAAGTGGACAACACGACCTCCCTAATATGCGTTAATTTTATCCAGTCCTTGCAAAGAATAAACAGCAAACAACAATAGTTAACAAAGAAGAATTAGTATAGAGTTACGAGGAGGTATCAAACGCATAAAAATGGTTAGTACTGTCGTGTCTAGGCCTGTCAAGTGTTGAAACATCCCAACACGCAGGAAGTTACATTTCAGCATAAACCTCCCATGTATGCCTAGGTCTTCCCGTCAGGCTTTCCTACTCAAAGTTTCTATTTCTCACCTTTTCTAAACATGCTGCTTTTACCGTCCATCATATTCTTAATTTGACCATTATAATAATAAATGGTGACGAGTAGAGCGAACTTTTAAATTATGGACCCCCTTCCTAGTATTGGCTCCCGTCATAACTCATTTAGTTTATGTAACTGAGCGCCCTCGTGAGTTGAATAGGCGGTGGAAGGCAAAGCGGAGTTTCAGTAACATAGTTTGACCTTTAACGTAATGTAGGTAATACAGGATGCGTCAATGAATCGGGCGATTTTAAAAACGTTATGAACAGTAAACTATTGCGTTTATTTGATTTTAATACACATGAGGACAGTGCAAACATAAAAGCATTTGGTTTTATCAATTAACTCGCTGAATATATGAGGTTATTTCCAAAAAAATAACATTTGACAGATGACCCCATTCCGCTGTAGGCACTCTGTAAGTCTCTTCCTAAAGCCACTCATTACTCTTTGCAGCACCTCTACGGAAATTCGTTCAGCTTCTTCCCGAATGCGATGTTTCAACTCCTGAACTGTGTGGTGTGCTGGGGCTTTGAAAACTTGGGATTTCAGATACCCCCAGAGAAAAAAATCACATGTGGAAAGATCAGGTGCCCTGGCTGGCCATATGATGTCCCCATATCTGGAGACAACATGGTTAGGACACAGGTTATTCACAACTGCCATGGAAGCTCGTGCGGTGTGGCACGTAGCCCCGTCTTGCTGTAAAAACATTTCTTCCTTGCCTGGAAGACGATCTAGTGCAGGAGCTAAGAAGCTCTCCAACATGTGAACGTAACGTGGTCCAGTCACAGTTACAGCCCTTTCCCACTCATCTTCAAAGAAGTACGGGCCAGTAATTCCAAACGAAGATTTCGCGCACCATACTCTGACTTTGGAACTGTGAAGTGGTCTCTCATAACTTTATTTGGTGTCTGTGGCTGACCAGTAACGGAAATTTTGCTTGTTAACAAACCCCGACAAATGGAAATGAGCTTCATCGCTCATCAGTAAGTTGTTAACGATATCTTGGTTTTGATTAATTAACTGCAAAAAAGTCTGACAGAAATCAACTCTGTTTTCATAGTCGTGTTCGTGTAGTGCATGAGTAATTTGAATTTTATAGGGGTAGAAGTGGAGATCTTTGTACAAAATCCGCCGAACGCTGGCTTCGGACAGCCCTAGTGATGTAGCGTGGTGACGCGCAGACCGGCGTGGACTTCGTTCAGTGGCTTCTCTCACTGCCGCTACATTCTCGGGTGTACGTGCCGTTTTTACGTACCATCTTTCTTTAGCATAGAACTAGTAGCCTTAAAGTTTTGAGCCCAGGTCTTGATGGCATGGGCAGATGGAATAGCACGATTGCGATGAATGCCAAACTCCTCTTCGAAATTCACGCTGAGCGATCATGAAAGTGTCACCGTTTTTGTAAAACGCTTTCACAGCAAAAGCACCTTGTGCTCCAGTCCGCCGCTCCATTGCAACTAAAACGCTTTGAAATAGTCTACTGGGTGGCAGTAGTCGCATCCTCCCCACTCCAACCAATCCAGGAAAAAATACCGCTGCAAAATCGCACATTTCATTGAAGCATCCTGTACGTATTGATACTTCATTTATTATTTCTGAATATGCTGTTCATTTTCTGACTGATATGCTTCATAGCATTTGGCACTGCACAAGTCTTGTTACAAAATGACAACATTTTCAGATCACCGCGGGCCCCATATGGAGCCCCCTTACTTACTCATGGAACTGAGCCCTTCTTGAGGAGCCGCCAATTCTGCAGCTACTCAAGAACTTCCCAGCATTTTATGGAACCCGAAGGTTCATCACCGTGTTCACAGGAGCCCTCCACTGGTCCCTATCCTGAGCCAGATATATCCAATACATACCATCCCATCCTATCCCTCTAAGATTTCTTCTAATATTGTCCACCCACCTACGCCTTGGTCTTCCCTGTGGTCTCTTTCCTTCTGGCTTTCCCACCAATATCCTATACGCATTCCTCGTCTCCCCCATTCGTGCTACATGACCAGCCCACATAATCCTCCTTGACTTGATCATTTTAATTATACTTGGAGAAGAGTACAAGTTAGGAAGCTCCTCATTATGCAGTTTTCTCCAACCTCCTGTGACTTCATCTCTCTTCGGTTAAAATATTCTC